AAATCTAAAAAAATTATTAGGCAATTTGACAACATGTCCGTTTGGCAAAGAGCAGCAGTAGGTTCTCCCTAGGGCCTAGAACTCCCCAGCCATGGACTTTTTACCAAGTTTAAAATATTATGCACAAATTTCCTCCTATAGATCAAACTCACTTCATTCTATTCTGACAGAAGAATTTTGTGACAGACATTGCTAAGTTTCTACTGTTTCTTTTATTTTCTAATAAAAATTATTTATTTTACTTTATGTGAATGAGTATTATTTTGCTTGTATATTTGTATTTGTATGTGCTCATGTGTATTTGTATGTTCATATGTGCATGCTGGGTGTCGATGGAAGCTAAAGAGAGTATTGAATCCCTGAAACTGTAGTTACAGACAGTTATGAGTTACCATATGGGTGCTAGGAATCGAATGTAGGTCCTGTGGAAAAGCAGCTAATACTCTTAACCAATGAGCCACCATCTCTCCAGCCTTTCTACTGTTTCTTGATCAGAACTAAGTGAATTCTGGGTCGGGATGAGCTAGTCATTGTCTGTCTCGAATTTTGGAACAGTTAGGCCTGGATTTAAGGTGGTTTTGACTGCCTGCTGCATTCTGTATGTAGCTCATGGACAAAGCAGCTTCCTTTGGGTGAAGAAAAAGTATGTGTTTTTAAGATTGCATTTATCTATTTGTTTAGTTGTGTGTCTGTGTGATGTCGGTCTCTGTGCACACACATGGCTCAGAGTGTGTGGGTCTAGAGAACAACTTGGGGGTTGGTTTTATACTTCTCTGTGTAGACCCTGGAGATTGAACTCTGCCCCAGAAGAGATGTTTGTAGCCAAGCAAACTATCTCAATGTTCCCTTCAGTGCTTTCCCTCTATTTGGACCTCCCCTTGTCTCTTCTCAGTGTTGGTAAAGGAACGGATAACAGTGTTCCACCTGCAGGTCCTGAAATCCTCTCCTCTCCATTAGCATTGCCATCTTCTTTTCTTGGCTGTTGCTCTCTTTGTCTCCTAGAACCGTTAAGTTCTTACCATGAAAGGTGAAACAGTTGCACATTGGCTCTTCCCATGACCTTTTTTTTGTGTGTGTGAAGCTGGGGAATCAAACCCAGGCCATGTGCTAATCTTTAACCACTGAGCTATACCCCCATCTCAGTGATTTGTACTCCTTGAGCGCCTATTTCCTCCCAAGTGTTGGGGTTATAGGCTGCACTACCACTGAAGCAGTGGGGATTAAACCCAGGATTTGTGCCTGCTAGATAAACATCTTATCAACTCAAGTGTGTGTGTGAGATGTGATGTGATGTGGTGTGTTAATATGGACATGTTTGATGCATGTACTGGGGTGTGTACACAGAGGTAAGAGGACAACTTGTAGGACAATTTGGTTTTCCTTCAATAACAAGTTCCAAGATGTCACCAGGCTCATTCAACAAATGACTTTACTTGCCAAACCATCACACTGACCGATTTTTAATAGATAAAGAAAAAAATAGAGTCAGGTAGTAAGTTGGACAGTAAAATAAAGTTTAGTTTATTGTTTTGTTTTGCTTTTTAATAATGTTGAATGAGGGGGTTGGAGAGATGGCTCAGTGGTTAAGAGCACTGCCTGCTCTTCCAAAGGTCCTGAGTTCAATTCCCGGCAACCACATGGTAGCTCACAACCATCTGTAATGAAGTCTGGTGCCCTCTTCTGGCCTGCAGACATACTCACAGACAGAATATTGTATACATAACAAATAAATAAATATTTAAAAAAAATGTTGAATGAAAAGAGCAAATTTCCAAGGTAATGTGGGATTTCCCTCTGTATGCTGTGATTACCATTAATGAATAAAGAACTGCTTTGAACCTATAGCAGGGCAGAACTTAGGTAGGTGGGGAAAAGTAAACTGAATGCTGAGAGAAAGAAGGGCTGAGTCAAAGGTGCCATGGAGCCTCCACTGGAGATAGACATGCAGAAACTTTGCTGATAGGCCATGACCTTGTGGTAATATACAGATTAATAGAAATGGGTTAAATTAATATGTAAGAGTTAGCCAATAAGAAACTAGAGCTAATGGGACAAGCAGTGATTTAGTTAATACAGTTTCTGTGTGATTACTTCGGGGCTAAGTGACCGGGAATCAGCAAGCGGTGCCCTCCTCCAACACCAAGGAGGTATGTATGTAAAAATGTCATGGCATTTTTACAATTTCTTATAGGAATTTAGTTTTACTTCTAATTTTTTTTGTTTAGTTTTTAAAAAAAAAAAATCTGAGGACTAGTGAGATGGCTCTGCTGGTAAAATAGCTTGCCACCAGGGCTGACAATCTAAGTTTAGTTCTCAGGACCTACATGGTGGAAGGAGAGAACTCCTACACACACGTTGTCCTGTGACTTGCAGATAGAGCTGTGAAATGTGCACGCTCTGCTACTACATACACAACATAGATAAATGAATGTAACTAAGATATCAAGGAAATATGGAAGCATCTGTTAAATCTGGGTGTTATATATTTCGGTCTTCTATTTCTTTCTACACCTCTTTGCACATTCAGTTATGAAGTGTTTCATAACTAAACATTTAAAATTGAATAGTATAGGCACCAGATGTGGTGGCACACACAAGGGGCAAAGGTGGGCAGATCTCTGTGAGCTTGGTCTACATAGCAAGTTCCAGGATGGCCAAGGCTACATGGAAAGAGCCTGTCTTCTGGAACCCTGAGGAAGAGGAAGTGGAAGAAGTTGTGGGAGCCAAAGGGGATGGAGGACACCAGGAGAACAAATACCTCTAAATCAACCGAGCAAAGTTCATATGAACTGACAGAGACTGAAGTAGCAAGCACAGGGCCTACATGGGCCTGTACCAGGTCCTCTGCGTGTATATTACAACTTTCAATTTTCTGTTTTTATGGAGCTCTTGAGTATGTGAACAAGTGGGTCTTTAATTCTTGTACTTTTTCTTGTGGCTCTTTTTCTTCTGTTGGTTTGCCTTGTCCAATTTCACTGCGATGGTCTTTGTTTTATCTTCTTATATTTTGTTATGTTTTGTTCTACACGCTACCTACCCACTGTGGAGAAGCCATCCAGATCAGTGGTTAAGGGCAGGGTTTCTGAGCCTGGCGGTGGTGGGGCTCTTTTAATCCTAGTACTCGGGAGGCAGAGGCAGGCGAATCTCTGTGTGTTTGAGGGCAGCCTGCTCTACAGAACTAGTTCTAGGCCAGCCAAGGCTACACAAAGACACCTGTCTGGTGGGGGCGGGGAGAAGAGCATGTTTTCTGAATCCAGATTGTCTAAGTTCGAGTCCCAGTTCTAACACTGAGAAGCTACTGTCCGAAGGCGCTTCTGCAGGATTCTCCCCTGCGAACTACTATCTTGTTTGTTTCCCACAGTGCGGCAACAAGTGACTGGCTTGACACCGTGCAAGTACACTGTTTTATAATTCCAAACGTCAGAAGTCCGGGATGGATATCCCTGGGCTAAAATTAGGGAGTAACTAGGCTACATATCCACTGGAAAACTCTGGAGTGAAGTACTGCCTTCCTTTTTCCAGTTTCTTGGGCTTACCAACATTTCTTGGTATATGTTCCCTCTTTTTTAAAAAATTTCCGTGTGTGTGTGTCCATGTATGTGCATATACCGCTTCCTTGTGTCTGCCAAGGCCAGAAGGTGTAGGATCCATTGGAGCTGGAGTTACAGGTGGTTGGGAGCTGCCCTGCCGTGAGTACTGGTAACCAAACTCAGTTATCTGGAAAAGTGGTGTCTTCTGTAGGGTGTCTATTGCTGTGCTAAAACATCATGACCAAAATCAACTTGGAGAGAAACGAGTTTATTTCATTTTATAGCCTGTAATCCACTGACCAGAGAAGTCACGGCAGGAACCTGGAGTCAGGAGCTGACACAGAAGCCGTGGAAGACTGCCGCTTCCTGGCTTGCCCTTCATGGCTTCCTCATTTTTACAGCACCCAGGAATGGCACCACAGTGGGTGGGTGGGAGGCTTCCACAGCAATCATTATTAAAGAAAAGGCCCTAGAGACCTGCCTATAGGTCAGGCAGATGGAGACATTTTCTCAGGTAAGAGTTTTGTTCCCAGATAACTACTAACTTGTGACAAATTGACAACAGACTGTCCAGGACAAGCTGTAAGCGCTCCTAACTGTTGAGCCATCTCTCCAGTCCTCGTATGTCCTCTTCTTAGAAAGCCAGCGATATTATACCTCCCACTTCCCAAGCGCTTCCCCCACCCCACTTCTGCTTTTAAAGATACTTGTGCTTAGGCTGGCTTTACTCAGATAATCTAGGATAATCTTCCTATTTTAAGGTCCCGTTTAAATTAGGTTGATTAGCCAGCAGCCTTCATTCCATCTGCAACCTCAGGTCCCCTTTGTCACGTAAGCTAACCTGTTCTCAGGTCCCAGGATTAAGCCATGCACATTTCAGGGGCCTTGTTTTTTGCCCAGATAGCTCTATTTAAATTTAAACTTGCATGAGGCCGCTGGGGACTGGAGAAGGTGTGTGTTTGAACTCAAAGGGCCTGCTCAGGGGATGTGTCGATGCTTTCCAATTTTCTCATTAGCATAGAATATTATGGTGAATTCTGTATTAAGAGTGATGTGGTGAAAGTTTTAGTTACATCACAGAAGGGAAAAGATGAAAGTAATAGAGAAGATTTATTTCAGTTCTTTCATTCCAAAGTGTTATAGGACCATTTATTAGTGTTTCAGGGAAAACCGCAGGACAGGCAAGCTGACAGTTCTGCAGGAGATGGGGAAGAGAGAAAGCCTTGGCTTTTGCAATGGAGTTTGGGAAACAGCAGCAAGGCAGAAGTGGCTGTAATGGAAAGAGCCACCAGGGAAGCGAGGCCAGGCACTAGTCAGCATCTGAAAGCAAAGTACCAAACGGAGAGGTGCTCAGAAAAAGGCGTGATCGGTAATGGAAGCTCGGCAGGCTTCTACCCCCAGTGGTTGTGACTCAGTTGCACTTTTGGAGAAGCTATGAGTTTTCCTTTGATTTTTCTATCTTTATTACAGAGTTTTCTTCCTACCTGTGGATGTTGCTGCTGACATGGAGAGGATTGAGCAGCAGTTTGCTAATCTACATATTGTTAGACGGTCCTCAGAACCAAAAGAGCCCACCTACCTGCTTGGCATAGACACATCGAAGACCGTCCAAGCAGATAAAGGGAGCTTGGTTGCTGTTCTGTGTTCAAATGCATCTGTCAGAATATATGATAAAGAGACACTAAATCTTCTACGAGAATTTAATGGCTCTCCCGGACTTCTTAATGGAGTCAGATTTGCGAATTGCTGTGACAATGTCTATTCTGCAGGTACGGATGGCACTGTCAAATGCTGGGATGCTCGGTTAGCTAGTGAAAAGCCCGTGCAGTTGTTCAAAGGTTACCCTTCCAACATTTTTATTAGTTTTGATGTCAACTGCAAAGATCATGTCCTTTGTGCGGGTACAGAAAAAGTGGATGATGACGCCTTGCTGGTATTCTGGGATGCCAGGACCGCGTCTCAGGATTCATCTACTAGAGAGCCACTCGGGGCCTACTCAGAGACACACAGTGATGACATCACCCAAGTACGTTTCCATCCCAGCAATCCCAACATGGTTGTCTCTGGCTCAACCGATGGCCTGGTAAATGTGTTTGATATCAGCGTGGATAACGAAGAAGATGCGCTGGTTGCGACCTGTAACTCTGTTTCCTCGGTGAGCTGCATTGGTTGGTCCGGAAGGGATTATAAACAAATTTACTGCATGACACACGATGAGGGATTTTGCTGGTGGGATCTTAATCATTTGGAGACTGATGAACCAATCACATGTTTGAACATCCAGGATGTGAGAGAAATAAGTGATGGAAAAGAAGGTCCTCTGGACTATCTGATCGGCGGCCTATATCATGAAAAGATGGATAGATTGTTTGTTATTGGAGGAACCAACACGGGAAGGATTCACGTAATGAGCTGCACCTCGTCGGGACTGACCCACGTGACTAGCCTTCACGGGGGGCATGCAGCCACTGTTCGCTCTTTCTGTTGGAACGTGCCCGAGGACTCTTTGCTGACCGGGGGAGAGGATGCACAGTTGTTGCTTTGGAAACCCGTAGCTGTAGAGAAGACCTTCCCAAAGAAAGACAGCTTGAAGATAGCCTCCTCCGTGCAGCAGCGAGTTCGCGTCCACAGCACCGGTTCTTACAAGAGGAGGAAACAGCAGTGATGTCGTGATGGGGATTTGCAGGCGCTTCTGGTTTCAAATCATTTTTGTTTCCTATAGCAAATGTTTTTAAAGCCTACCTGTAAAAGCAGCAATTAGCAAAGTCCCAGACAAATATTGAGAATGATTTAATTTGTGTCCAGACATAACCTATAATATTTTTAAAGCCTCCAGTTGAGCATAAAAATCAGTGACATGACAGGGAAATTATAGGCCTGTAATTTCCTTTTGAAACCCACCTGTTGAGTTAGTGAGTGTCAAGTTTGGAGAAATCGCTCTGAAAAGGGCTCTTAGTTAGATAGATAGCTGGGGAGACCGTGGCACAGCTGGTTTGGGCTATGCTTTTTTAAGATCAAAGATTTTGCATTTGAAATTATCTTCACTGTCCACACGACATCAGACTGTTGGGTGGTATGAGGAGTTTGTGCTTGCTCACTGCACCTACCCCATCACCTCTGAGCACCGACTCAGCATCCTAGTGAGTCTAAACAGAATTTTATTTTTTTTTAGGAATGAAGTATACATTTTTTTTAATGAGAAAAATATATTTAGTAACTACTTGCATCTGTACTTTAAAAACTCTATTTACACTTAGGTAACTGACACCCAGGTGCTTTGCTGTTGAAAAAGAAATTATCTTACTAGATTCATTTTAAGGCTTAGAGTAAGATAAAGAAATTAAAATACAACAGCAGGGCTATTCTATTTCAAAATATTTTTTCAATAATATGATTAAATTTCCTTATTTCACCCATAATTTTAAACTTGAAGCTTTTTTTATTGCCAGTGTGTGTGTGTGTGTGTGTGTGTGTAGATGACAGGACAATGTAAGAGTTTTATCCTTCTACCATGTTACCATCTGGGTCCCAGGAATTAAACCCAAGTCCTTAGGCTTCACAGTAGGTTCCCTTACTTACTGAGACAGTTTGGGGTGGGGTAGCAATTATTGCTAATTTTGTCATTTTTCCTATAAAAATTATTTTTGTAACAAACTATAGAAGTTATCCCTGAAAGTATAGTCTTGGTGGTGGCATAAGCCTTTAATCCCAGCAATCAAGAGGCAGAGGCAGGTGGATCTTTGAGTTCCAGCTGAGGCCAGCCTGGTCTACAAGAGCTAGTTCCAAGAGCGGCTCCAAAACTACAGAGATACAGAGAAACCCTATCTCAAAAAACAAAGTGTGTGTGTGTGTGTGTGTGTGTGTATGTGTGTGTACATACATATTTTGTAAAGTGCCTTAATAATAGAAATTAATAAGGTAATCCTTTTTTGAGGGTGGGGGTAGAGGTTAAAACGAGGTTTTTTGTGTGGCCCTGGCTGTCCTAGAACTCTCTCTGTAAACCAGAGTGGCCTTGAACTCAGAGATTTACCTGCCTCTGGCATCCTAGTGCTGGGATTAAAGGTTTATTACTTATTATTTTAAAAAATGTCTATGTGTATGTGTGCATGACATATGTATGCAAGTGTGTGTAGAGGCAGAAGAAGCAAAGCATGACAGTGGCCAAGACAGACACCCTCGCCAGCGGGAATCAAGGCTAGGTAGGCAGCATTGCTGTTTCCTTAGTTCTCTTTGTGCGGAGGTCACCTCCCATCCCGAAGTGCCGAAGTGGGGAAAGTCTTTCCTCCTTTAAGCCTTCCCAGAAGTGACCTCACAGATCTGCCCAGAGGTGGGTCTTAGCTGATTCCATAAGGTGATAAAAGTGCGCAGCCTTGAGCATTAGCCTTTCCTTAGTGTGAACAGAGGGCAATCACTGTCTGCACCCCCTTTCTGTAGGGTAGCACATCGGAACATCTTACTTCTCAAATATAACTTGCTGCCTATCGAGCAACTCTCAACAGCTCTTCCCCTCCATTTTAAGTGGATGGATTTATGGTATGCAAATTATATCTCACAGTTGAAAAAAGATACTACATGTCTCAGTTACTAGTCTATTGCTGTGAAAGAAGGAACACCATGACCAGGACTTTTTGTTGTTGTTGTTTGTTTGATTTTGGTTGTTTGAGACAGGGTTTCTCTATATCTTTGGAGCCTGACCTGGAACTCGTTTTGTAGACCAGGCAGGCCTCGAACTCAGAGATCCACCAGCCTCTGCCTTCTGAGTACTAGGCTTAAAGGCATGTGCCACCACCCAGCTGACCAGGACTACTTATAAAAGAAAACATTTAATTTGGGGTTTGCTTACAGTTCCAGAGAGTGAGTCATGACCGTCATGGCAAGAAGAATGGCGGCAGGCAGGCTTGGTCCTGGAGCAGTAGCTGAGAGCTTACACCTTATCCTCAAGCCTGAGGCAGAGAGGAGACACTGGGCCTAGCATGGACTTTTGAAATCTCAACGCTCACCCCAGGTAACACAGTTCCTCCAACAAGGCTACACCTCCTAATCCTTCCTAAAACAGTGTGATCAACTAGGGATCAGGCTTTCAAATATATGAGCCTATAGGGGCCATTTCCATTCAGATCACCACACTAGGGAAGGCAGGATTGAGGTATAAATCCTGTTGACTGGTAAGATGAAATTTAAGACTGTATTGATTTCAGAACTAGGTAAACACTGGAAAGGGCTCTACTCTTGTTAATGTATGAATATCTATAATCACAATGCTAGATAACTCAGCTCAGTGAATTTTTGTATTAAAAGCATGACCCAGGCTGAATAGTGGTGGCGCACACCTTTAATTCTGGTGCTCGGGAGGCAGAGGCAGGTGGATCTCTGAGTTTGAGGCCAGCCTGATCTACAAAGTGAGTTCCAGTACAGCCAGAGCTATTATACAGAGAAATCCTGTTTCAAAAAAAAAAAGAAAAGAAAAAGCAAAAGACAAAACCGTGACCCAATATATTTATCTCAAGAATGTCAGGATAACTTAACAGTAGAAAGTCAATGGCAATGGTGGACATAAAAGACGGAAATCAAAGTGCTCTTAATTAATACAGAGAAACCTTCGTGCATCTTAATATTTTTCAGTTTCACATTTATTTATAAAAATATAAGCATCACATAAGGAATAAAATACTGAATGGGAAAGGTACAGTATTAGGCAGAATGCTATTTTTCTGTCATAAAACAGAAATCCAGTCTTTTGCAGCAGCATGGATGGAACTGAAGAGCAGTATGTCGAGTGAAATAAGGACCAGAAATGCATCACATGGACCTAGGAGGACTCGAAATCCATCTGCCTCTGAAGCCCGAGATGAGAACGGTGGATTCCAGAGGCTGCAGAGTTGATGGATGAGTACCAGGTTACAGTTAGAAACAAGTTGTTCTAGTGTGCTATTCCATAACAGAGTCATTCAAAAGGTAGAAGAGGGCCTGGAGAAATTACTTGGAGCTGAAGAACATTGGCCGCTCTTCCAGAGGTCCTGAGTTCAATTCCCTGCACCCACACGGCAGTTCACAGCCATCTATAACTCCAGATCCAAGATATCAGGTGCACTCTTATGGTCCCCATGGGCACCAGGCAAGTGTGTGTTGCACAAACATCCATACAGGCAAAATACCCATACATATAAAATACATATTAAAAAGTTGTAAGAGAGTTGGCACAATGGCTCAGCAGGTAAAGGGATTTGCCATCAAGCCTGACAACCTAAGTTCTATTTTTAGGACCTTCATCATGTATGGGAGAACTAACTTCCTGACATCTACCAAGCATCTTAATGTCCACGTGCACACAAAAAAATAAATCATTTTTAAAAAGTAGAAGAGCTCTTAACCACTGGGCCATTTCTCCAAACTCTCCTGCTTGCTTTTCTATGAGGTACACTTTATGTTTTCTATTTGTCTGAACTAAAACTTCTGTTTAAGAAATTAAGCCCCCCCAAACAAACAAGCAAACAGGAGTGAAGGGAGAGGAGGAGTCTAAGTACCTACCCTGCAGCAGTACTAGTCTCTTTCAGAACTTTTCAGATGATCCCTAGAAGCAGGTGCCAATTGAGAAAACTAGAGCCTGGAAAGGTCAAGTTGATTTTTTATTTTAGGGACAGGCTAGCCCAAAGATCAATATTTTAGCAAAGGAGGACCTTGAACTCTCGATCCTCTAGCTCACACCTCTGGTGTTAGGATTACAGGCATTCACCACCATTCCCAGTCTTGAGGGTTGCTGGGAAGTGAATCCAGGGCTTTGAGCATGCCTAATAAACACTGAATCAAATGAGCTACATCCTAAACGTTTTTGTGTATGTATGTGCATGCGTGTATGTATAGGAGCTTAAATGTGTATTGGATATCATGAGGCAGGGTCGCTCACTGAACCTAGAGCTTCCCAATTCAGCTAGAGGGGCTGGTTAGCAACTTCAATACCCCTATCTCCACCTCCCTGGTGCTGGGGTTACAGATGTATGCTCCATAACAAACTCTAACCACTGAGCCATGTCTTCACTTGATGAAGTCCAACATAGCCAGTTTGCCTTACACAGGCTATGAAAATTCCACTACTGGGCTACCTCCCTGATCTTTTCTTTTTTCCTTTCTTTTATTGTGGGCAGTTTCTCTTTCCCCGTTTGCTAGACTGCTCTTTGGTGCACATCTAGCCACCACCAGTCTTTCTTTTTTCTTAATACTTTGATGTTAAATTGTGGATATTTTGATGAAGAAAATCTTATGATGGCACTTTGATATATTGTAAAATAACCATGTCCTCTTCTACATCCTCAAATCACTTACATAGGATCACCAAGAATAAATACTTCTTACAACTAGTTTCTTAAAATAAAATATATCTGCTGTCTCAAAACCTGTAATATCTCATTGCCATCTGTCCAATCACTTGTCAGCTAACCACAGCTTACTATAAGAATAAATTACATAGCTAGAAGAGATAATGTTCTCACCACAAAGAACGATAAATGTTTGAGGTGATGAATATGCTAATTATTCCGGTTTGATCATTAAGCAATGTATACACACATGGAAATATCACACTGTCCCACATACATATGTATAATTACATGTCAGTTTAAAAAGTTAGAGAGGGGGCCAGAAAGATGGTTCAGTGGGCAAAAAACACTTGTCATCTAGCATGGTAACCTGAGTTGGATCCCTGGAATCTGTGTAATAGAAGTAGAGAACCAATTCCCCCAAGTTGTCCTCTGACCTCCATACATATGTGCCCACACACATATACACAAAAATAACAAATAAATAAAGGCAACAAAGTTAGGGAGACTAGGAAGTATTTTAATGGGCAAAGTGGTTGCCATGGGAAAATGAGTATCTGAGTTTAGCTCCACAGCATCTATTCAAAAGCTGGCTGTGGGAGTATGTACCTGTGTTCCTAGCACTGGAGAACAAGAAAATGTTTGTTATCTATTGCCCAGAGGCAAGAGAATTCTTGGGACTTGCTGGCCGGTCAAGCCAAATCTATGACTTCAGGGTTTGGTGAAAAACCCTGCATATTCATCACTTTGCTATTTCTATGATAAAATACCATGACCAAGGCAACTTGTAGAAAAAGGAGTTTATTTGGGCTTATGGTTCCAGAAGGAGAGTCCATACTGGCTGAAGAGGCATGGTGACAAGAGGTAGTCACAATAGGAAACTGAGAGATTGCATCATCAGCCACAAACATACAGAAGAGAGAGTGAACTGGAAGTGGGGCAAGGTTATAAACCCCCAAAACTCCTGTCCCCATAATGTACTTCCTTCAACAAAGCTGTACCTTCTAAAGGTTCTGTAACATCTACCAACTGGACCAAGAGTGGGAATGTGGAGCTTTATAAGAACCTACAAAAAAAATTACACAATTGTTGAGAGTCTTTGGCCCCTTCTTGTATTATCTGAAGTGTGGAGAGAGACAGAACTAATAAGGTAAATGGATAGACAGCTAATAGATAGCTAGGTGCGCTCATAAACAGGTGGGAATTGACTCTTTCCTATGGAGCCTGAAAAGTCCCACAGTGTGATCCCTGTAGCATGGGATGCTTTAAGTATGAAAGCCCAAGGACCAGCAGGGCCAAAGGTCTAACTCTTAGTCTGAAGCCCACACCTAAGATACAGTGGTGGTATCAGTTTAAGTCCAAGGGTGTAGAGGCCAGGGAACCTGGAGTCCTGATGCCAAATGATATGAAAAGTGGTGGCCCCGTTCTGAGATGAGGGAGAGGGAGAAAGAGGGAGGAAGGGAGATGGGAAGAGAGAGAGAGTGTGTGTGAAGATGAGAATACTTCTTCTTTCTCTGCCATTTTGTTCTATCCAAGCTCTCAGTGAATGGGATGGTGGCTGATCATTTTGGATAATGGCTGATTTTCTGTACCCATTCCATTGGTTCAACTGTCAATCTTTGCTGGGAACACCCTTGCAAACATATCAAGAAATCCTGTTTTTACTATTTTACTGTTTAAGGGTGTCTGTATAACCCTTAGTTCTGTCAAACAGACACCTGAATGAATGAGCACATTTGATAAACTCCTATTTATGATTCAAGACCCAGACCAATTGTTTCTTCCTCTGTGAACAATTTCTCATCTCCACCTAGGAATTTAACTCCTCTCTTGTTTTATCCTGGTTAGTCCTTGATCCTATCCATGCTTTTATTACAAATCATACGTTTCTGCCTGGGCGGTTGCCGCTCTTTTATATTTAACAACAGCAATTACAACAAAGCACAGGGTGACATCACAGGGGAGGCTGTGACAGGAACACTGGGTGTCTGAGTTCCAGAGCAACCCTACATGGTGAGACTTTGTCACAAACTGTAGTAAGGAGCCAGCTTGTTGGTTCCCGGCCACTTAGCCCCAAAATAATTACATATAAACTGTTTTAATTAAATCACTGCTTGGCCCATAGCTCTAGCTTCTTATTGGCTAACTCTTACACATTAATTTAACCCATTTCTATTAATCTGTGTATTGCCACGTGACTGTGGCTTACCGGCTAAAGTTCCATCTGGCTCCAGTGGGGCTACATGGCTTCTCTCTAACTCCTTCTTCTTTCTCTCAGCATTCACATTAGTTTTCCCCACCTAGCTTTTTCTGCCCTGCTCTGCTATAGGCTCAAAGCAGTCCTTTACTAACTAATGGTATTCACAGCATATAGAGAAGAATCCCGTATTACCTCCCCTTTTCTGTTTAAATAAAAAGGAAGGTTTTTAACTTTAACATTGTAAAATTACATATAACAAAACAGGTATCAAGCAAGAATTACAGTTACAATATTTATATCTACTTTATTTTTATTATAACTAAGAAAACTATAACTTTAAATTCTTCAACTCCATCAAAGACTTCAGAAGGATATAATATTACCTAAGTAAACAGTAAGTTCATTATAAGCAACTTCCAAAACTCTAAAATTGACAGAGACATTTTACTTCCTGGACAGTCACTCAAAGTTCTTCTGTACTGTTGGGCATCCATCTTCAGCCTACAGGCCCATAGTATCTGGCAGACTTTTCTGTGAAGCAGGAAATTTCAAAAACTGTTTTGCCTCTATTGACAGTTTGTCAGTCACTTTCTTTTGTGTCCTGCAGAATGTCTTGCAGACTCTTTTATGAAACAGGAACTCTGAAGAATGGTCTCACCTTTAGGCAAATTCAGCAGTCATTTCTCTGCAAGTCCTGCATGTCCAGTTCATCAAGCAGTCCAGGCAAGAGCAGTTTTTTGCCAAATGGCTAATCATAAGGAGCCTCTTCAATGCCCATCTTACTCTTGAAGTTATTGGTGCTGCCAGAAGCAGATGTGTCTCATTGTCATGAAAAGTCCTAAGTTATTAAAAGATTTTAAATGCCATATCCTAAAGGTCTCTGAAAGATTTGAAGAATACCTATCTAACTGAAATATATCTCTATATATCTAGAAAGCCTAACATGATATACACTTGACTATTATAGTTGATTATAACCTATATTTCTTAATTATACATTACATTTTTAAATGAGCTGCATAAACACAATGCCCTAAGAGCAGAAATATACATAAAACAAAACTGACCTTAAATTTGTATCAATAAATCAAGATACATACAAATCTTTATAGAATATCCCCCCTTTAAATGTAAAAGAACATTTATAAACAATATTTGGGAATATGGGCATAGTTTTTCTCCAAACTGCTTCCTGCTGTTTATTTGGCAAAGTATTTTTTGAAGGGTGTTCAAGGCAACCTTTCAGGAGATCTTGATCCATCAAACCATATTAGTCTGGAAGCAATTCACAGGTTCTTATCCTCTGTGGAAACAAAAGAAAAACCTCTTTTCCAAAGCAACATATCCTTAGGCTCAAATTCTGAAGTCAAGATACCTTTGATATATATGTGTGTGTGTGTGTGTGTGTGTGTATATTTGCTTAGCTTAGCAGTCTCCAGAATCAAATGTTTCTCTGCAGTCAAAAAATTCAAAGATAACAAAATAATATACTTTATCCAGACTCTGTGAATTTTCCATCTTTACATGGCTTGTTTTTAATTCTATTAATTTTTTATATTTATTTTAATTTTTTTACCTCCTTAATCTATGACTGTCTGTACTCTGTCTCTTTAAGGACTTTACCTTTTTTTGTTTGTTTGTTTTTTCGAGACAGGGTTTCTCTGTGGTTTTGGAGCCTGTCCTAGAACTAGCTCTTGTAGACCAGGCTGGCCTCGAACTCACAGAGATCCACCTGCCTCTGCCTCCCAAGTGCTGGGATTAAAGGCGTGCGCCACCATCGCCCGGCTTGGACTTTACCTTTTTTAAAAACCATTTACTTCCTTTTATAACTGTGTATATTCTTTTTTTTTGTCTCTCCCAAGCCTATGTACATTTATACAACACTGTGACCCATTTAAAGGTCTTTTATGTCTGAATTTGTCCTATTGTATATCTGTAATTATTTCCTGTCTAAAAATGAAAATGCTAAGCGCTTCTTTTTTTTTTTTTTTTTTTTGATTTTTTGAAACAGGGTTTCTCCATAGCTTTTTGGTTCCTGTCCTGGAACTAGCTCTTGTAGACCAGGCTGGCCTCAAACTCTCAGAGATCCGCCTGTCTCTGCCTCCCAAGTGCTGGGATTAAAGGCATGTGCCACCACCGCCCGGCGTTGCTAAGCTCTTCTTAAAAACTTAAGCAGCACCATTGCTAGGGGAAATATGGCAGTGTCTGATTGCCCCATCCAGCCTAGCATGGCAGAGCTGCTTGCTGCCTCAGAGAGCCATGCACAATGTCCCATCTCTAGGCACACAGCTGGTCCATGTTGCCATCAAGCAAGCTGTAGCACATTGCTCACAAACCCCATTCAAATGCTCAGTCTCCTGGAAGAGCCAGAGGTCATGCTGGCAGCATGGCCTAGAAAGTTGGCATTACAAAATGGCACAGCGTTTTTCCTGCTATAACTGAATCAGGAAAACTTCTCTTAAAGGAGCTGCAGCATGCCATCAACAAACAAAGCCCATGGGGGGGGGGGATGCATCTAAACTTTTTAGTGTCTAGAATTCCTTTGCAAGCCCTCTCAGGTTTAAATAGATTTTAGTTGGCCATGTGGGTGCCAATTTGTTGACAGAGGTTTCTGTCCCACCAGGTTCTTCAGTCATATAGTCCCAAAGAAACACACAGAGGTCTACATTAATCATAAACTGGTTGGCCTGTTAGCTCAGGCTTTTTATTAACTCTTATAACTTATCCCAGCCCATAATTCTTGTCTGTGTTAGTCACGTGGCTTAGTATCTTTTTCAGTGAGGCAGTCACACCTTGCTTGCTCTGTGTCTGGCTTCCTCTCTATCTGGGTAACAACTACTGACTGAAACTTTCCTCTTCTCATAATTCTCATTGTCATGCCTCTACTTCCTGCCTGGTCACTTTCACCCTACCTATATTTTCTGCCTGGCTCCTGGCCAATCAGCAAACAAACAAAATTCAACCCCTCCCTCAACCAACAGACAACCCAGAGTTCTTTTTCGATGACCTTAAAAATCCTGTGGCGCTTATAGATT